CTGTACATAAAAGACAAAAAAAGAGGGCGCACAGGCCTAGTGCATTACCTTTAAAAATTAGGATTTATTAATAAAAAGTGAATACTCACAAAAATAAAATGTTGTAAAATCAGATAAACGCAGGAAGCATGTCACACAACATAGCAGTATGGTACAGGAACCCCTGTGGATGGTCTGGTGGGAGACTGGAAGCCTCTGGATAGCTGGTGGCTGACGCGTTTCAAGGAAAACACCTCTTCTTCAGATCGTGTGTGTGTGTGTGTGTGTGTGTGTGTGTGTGTGTGTGTGCGCGCAACCAGTGTTGTATTTAGGTTTTGTGCTGCACTAGGCAACACAAAAATTGGCGCCCCCTTCCCACCCGCAGAGCCTTCCATTACCACTGCCTCCCATACACCAGTCACCATCCGCCACAGCGAGACAGAGAGAAACTCGGCTTCATAGCTCCAAACATCCCTGGGAACAAGAGGAGGCTTTGCATACACAGTCATGAAACCTGCAGCCTCTCTCGGAACCCACCAGGTCCACATGCCTCGTGTGTCCCTTCTTCCGAGGGACAGTGCTGCCCTAGGCAAATGCCTTGTGGTAAATACACCCCTGGATGCAACCATATGCATCTGCACGCAATGCATGTGATTGTGGTGTGGCAGTCTGTCATTTAGGGGGTTAAAACAGCCTCTTCACTGCTTTTCAAATAAACACTAAAGAAAGATCCAAACACGGATAGCTCTTCAGGGAGTGATGCAAATTTGAACGAGACCTAAAAGTTGACCCGTAAAGCGGCGTTACTTAACCTTTTGTGAATGACAAACCCCTTTAAGAAAGCTAGGGACCTCCTTCCCAGAAATATACACAACTTTGCATTAACGATAACATATAATTCCATTTATAGCTCTGCCCCCAATTACATCACCAATCTTGTCTCCAGATATCACCCAAACTGTCCTCTGCTCCTCGCATGACCTCCTGCTCTCTAGCTCCCTTGTCTCCTCCTTCCATGTTCGTCTCCAGGACTTCTCCAGAGCCTCCCCCATCCTCTGGAACTCTCTACCCCAATTTATCAGACTATCGCCTACTATGGCCACTTTTAGGCGATCTCTGAAAACCTATCTCTTTAGGGAAGCCTATCCTGCGTTCAGCTAATAAAGGAATCTTCTATTTCTCCTGCCAGTCCATCCCCCACAGTTATTACCTTTTTGTACAACCAGCCCCTCCCTCTTAGATTGTAAGCTCCCAGGATCAGGGCCCTCCTTTCCCTCTTGTATTGAACTGTATTGTTGCTGTATTGTCTCCCATTATATTGTACATCACATGACAACTTTACACAATGGATGGTGTTCATTCATGCCATCCATTGTGTACTATTGTGTTGATCTCTGTGATCACATGATACAGACAGGGCCATTCGCAGCCCATCTGTACCATATGATTTGCTCTGGCTAACCACAATAGTAAACATTGAATGAATCTATTTTCATTCAGTAAAAATGGTTGCTTATAACCTGGAAATTCACTGGTATTAGCAATCCTAGTGTGAAAAAAAAAAATCCTGATCACTTCTCCATAGTACAGTGTTACTATCACAACACTGTATTGCTCTAGTCATAGTATGTGTTAAAAAAAAAAAAAAAAAATGATTTCCAAAAAAAATGACAACAGCAGAAAACTCACCATGTCTCTTACTAAATAGCTTGGACTGCCTACTTTCCAAGAAGGGGGCAATTGGGGGGTATTTGTACTGTCCTGGCATTTTCGGGCCTGAAGAGATAAGATTGACTGTCAGTGTGTGTATATGTGTATAGATATAGCTATATAGATATAGAGCGAGAGAGAGTTGTGTTCAAAATAATAGCAGTGTGTTGAAAAAAGAGAATAAAGCTGAAAATCCTTCTAATAGCTTTTATTTCCATCCACACAAATGCATTGGGAACACGACACATTCTATTCCAAATCACATGAAGAAAAATAGATCACATTTTGTGGTGTTCCTCTAAAAAACAAAATGGAAGAAAAGTGAATATTAGACGGTTCAAAAAAATCGCAGTGTTTGTATTCTTCACAAACTCAAACATTCACTATATAAACTGAGAAATGTTTGAAGATTTTGCTTTCCTTTGAATGACTTCATGAATATTTGGTTGTAGTTGCACTGTTTCTGAGAACTGCTGTACATCTGTGTTGCATGGAGTCACCCAACTTCTGGCCCCTGTGATCAGGTATTCCAGCCCAGGATGATTGGACGACATTCCACAGTTCTTCTCTATTTCTTGGTTTTGCCTCAGAAACGGCATTTTTGATGTCACCCCACAAGTTTTCTATTGGATTAAGATCCGGGGATTGGGCTGGCCACTCCACAACGTCCATCTTGTTGGTCTGGAACCAAGATGTTGCACGTTTACTGGTGTGTTTGGGGTCGTTCTTCTATCCATTCCAATGGTAGTTTTTCGCTTTCTTCCCACGTCTTTCAGGTTTTGGTTGCCATTTTAAAGCATTTGCGATCATTTTAGCTGAGCAGCCGATCATTTTCTGCACTTCTTTATATGTTTTCTCCTCTCCAATCAACTTTTTAATCAAGGTACGCTGTTCTTCTGAACAATGTCTGGAACGACCAATTTTCCTCAGAATTTCAGAGAGAAATGCACTGTAACCAGCATGTTCAACATTTGCTGCCTTCCTACCTTAAATAAGGGCAATAATTGCCACCTGTTTTTTCAAAGAATTAATGACCTCACTAATAGAACTCCACACTGCTATTATTTTGAACACGCCCCTTTCAATGAGTGATTCAATGACACAGAATCGGCAGCATGCATGTCCTGACTGTTGGGTCTGTTGGATTTCTATTACTCTACTACACCTGCTAGTAAATTATTTGCCATGTAGAAATATCATTTCTACCAGAAACAGTGATTGATCCGGTTAGTGATGTCTGACTGCTATTATTTTGAACACAACTGTATATAATATATTTTATCTTCATCCTTCAAGAATCATCCGGTACGGTTTCCCTGGAATCCACCCACCGGGACCATATCAACCCTGTATGTTTAACACAGCCTCAAACCCCATGTTTTTTTTTTTTTTCCTCAGCTATAGTCGTATACATCTGAGGTTTGTAGTTTTACAAAAAAAAAATGTAAAGTGGTTGTAAACGCTCAAGGTTTTTTTACTTTTTTTTTTTTTTTTTTTTTTTTTTTTATGCATTCTAAGCATGATGGGAAAACACCTTTTTGTGTGCAGCAGCCCCCCCAACACTGACCTGTGCCCCATTATGATCCAGCAATGTGCATGAGAGTCTTGGCTTGCAGGGGACTCCTCATTGGCTGAGACGGCAGCAGCAGCCATTGGCTCCTGCTGCTGTCACTCACAGCCAGTGTGTAAATGTGGGAATGGATACGCAGAGCAATGGCTCAGGAGGGAGCCTGCTTGGGTTCCATTATAGCAAACTGCTTGCTGTGGAGGCATTTGGCAGGAGGAAGGGACCAGGAGCCTAAAATGCAAAATCTACAAAACTATTAGTTTACCCCATTTTTTTTATTTTCTTGCTTTTCAAATGGTCCCTGATAATCTTTCTGTCCCTTCATCTTAGAAGCTCTGCACACCGTATTCTATGTCAGTGTTTATCACCGTGTTTTTGTGTTACCACGTTAGTTCAGAGCCCTTGCACAGATGGGTTGTGTCGCCACCAATGAGAATCCTGCGAGTTACCCCCCCCCCCCCCTTTTTCCTTTCCCGCCCACAACAACAGAAATAAATGAGCAAATCTTTTTAATTCAGATCTAGTTCCCATTGCCCAATGGATAAAATTCAAAACATTAACAATAACCTATAAAGCCATGTATAACTCTGCCCCAAATTACGTCAGCAATCTTGTCTCCAAATATCACCCAAACCGTCTCCTCCTCCCATGTTCGTCTCCAGGACTTTTCCAGAGCTTCCTCCATCCTCTGGAACTCCTATACCCCAATTTATCTGCTCACTTTTAGGCGATCTCTGAAAACCTCTCTTCAGGGAAGCCTATCCAGCCCTCCACTAATAATGGAACCTTCTATTCCTCCTACCAGTACATCCCCCACAGTTACTACTTTTTGTACCACTAGCCCCTCCCTCTTAGATTGTAAGCTCCCAGGATCAGGGCCCTCCTTTCCCTCTTGTATTGAACTGTATTGTTGCTGTATCGTCTCCTGTTAAATTGTAAAGCGCTGAGCAAACTGTTGGCGCCATATAAATCCTGTATAATAATAGTTTCCCTACTGCCCTACTCAAACTCACCAATGACCTACTCACCGCCAAAACCAATGGCCAATATACTGTACTACTACTTGACCTCTCTGCGGCTTTTGACACGGTTGACCACCCCCTCCTCAAGAAAAAAACTACACTCTTGGCCTCAGAGACTCCGCTCTCTCCTGGTTCTCCTCCTATCTATCACAGCGCTCCTTCAGTGTTACCTATAACGCTACCACCTCCCCTTCTCTCCCCCTCACTCCCTGTTTCTGTTTGGGTCCCTCAAGGTTCTGTCCTCGGACCCCTTCTCTTCGCCATCTACACCTCCTTCCTCGGCCAGTTGATAAACTCCCACGGCTTCAACTACCATCTCTATGCCGACGACACACAAATCTATCTCTCTACCCCTCACCTCACCCCCTCAGTCTCCACTCGTATCACTAGCCTACTAAGTGACATATCGGCTTGGATGTCACTCCACTTCCTCAAACTAAACCTTTCCAAAACTGAGCTCCTAGTATTCCACCCAGCCCATGCCCCCCCCCCCCCTTCTCTATCAAGATCAACAACATTATCATCAGTCTCACCCCTCACGCCAGGATACTAGGTGTAATCCTAGACTCCAATCTGTCCTTTCAGCCCCAGGTCCAATCGCTGACAAACTCATGTAGACTTCACCTCCGCAAAATCTCCAAGATACGACCGTTCCTAACCTCGGAAACCACTAAGCAACTCATTCACTCCCTTTTTATATCACGCCTTGAATACTGTAACTCCCTCCTCACTGGCCTACCCCATCGCAGGCTATTCCCCCTACAGTCCATCATGAATGCTGTTGCCAGACTCATTCACCTTACTAACCGTTCTGTATCTGCCACCCCTCTCTGCCAATCCCTCCACTGACCTCCACTCAGTGTCCTCCATCCCTCTCTGCCAATCTCTCCACTGGCCTCCACTCAGTGTCCTCCATCCCTCTCTGCCAATCCCTCCACTGGCCTCCACTCAGTGTCCTCCACCCCTCTCTGCCAATCCCTCCACTGACCTCCACCCCTCTCTGCCAATCCCTCCACTGGCCTCCACTCAGTGTCCTCCATCCCTCTCTGCCAATCCCTCCACTGGCCTCCACTCAGTGTCCTCCATCCCTCTCTGCCAATCCCTCCACTGACCTCCACTCAGTGTCCTCCATCCCTCTCTGCCAATCCCTCCACTGGCTTCCAATTGCCCAACGGATAAAATTAAAAACGCTAACACTGACGTATAAAGCCGTTCATAACACTGCCCTAAATTACATCACCGACCTTGTCTCTAAATACCACCCAAACCGTACTCTCCGCTCCTCGCAAGACCTCCTACCCTCTAGCTCCCTTGTCTCCTCCTCCCATGCTCGTCTCCAGGATTTCTCCAGGCTTCTTCCATCTTCTGGAACTCCCTACCCCAATCTATCAGACTATCGCCTACTCTGCTCACTTTTAGGCGATCTCTGAAAACCCATCTCTTCAGGGAAGCCTATCCTGCCCTCAGCTAATACTGGAATCCTCTACTCTTCCAACCACTCCATCCCCCACAGCTAATTACCTTTTGTACCACTAGCCCCTCCCTCCTAGATTGTAAGCTCCAAGGATCAGGGCCCTCCTATCCCTCTTGTTTTGAACTGTATTGTTGCTGTATTGTCTCCCTCCATAATGTAAAGCGCTGAGCAAACTGTCGGCGCTATGTAAGTCCTGTATAATAATAATAATAGTTTCAGACGGCGAAAGAGATCCCGAATTTTCCTAAGTTAAATAGGAACATTAGACCTGTATTAAGGCTCCTGGTTGGGGTCAAACATAGGACAGCCAGCTACGCTGCACCTTCCCCGCCTGTCACACGGCTTTCTTATGCCGCAGAGGCCGTATTACAGTCATGTTAGAAAGCAGAAAGGATCGGGATGTCGGGGTTGTTGAGATCCTACGGACGACTGGTTCAGAACTGGCTCTTAGAACAGGTCTCCGGTTACTCCTGGCCTAATTAAAGCAGAAAGGCTTCAGCGCTGCCAGACATATAAATGATGTCCACGATTGCATGGTACTGATAGGCTCCCGTGATAACAATAATGTCTTGTCAGGTGCTTAATTCCCCCAGGGGGCAATGCAGCTGCAAGAGGATGATTGCTTAAATCACTTCTCCCTACTCTCCATGTTTTATCCCCCCCTCCTTTCCTCGTCTTTATTTCCAGCCCATCAAAGTAAATTTCACATAGATCAATTGTATCTATTACCAATTATGAAAGGTTTCCACTTCTGCAGTGCTCAGAGATGATGGGGAATTTTATATGACAACTGAAATGGATCCCGTTCAATAAAATCAATCACTCTGGCTGCTATGCACTTGGACGGATGACCACCTTTGTGGAATAGTATGATAATATTCTATCGTTTGCAGAAACAATGTTGAAAAAAAGATATTAAAACTTTTTTTTTTTTTCTTTTTTTCTATTGCTTGCATGATAAATAGTCATGTATTCAGTGGTGTATTTAGGTTTTGTGCTGCCCTAGGCAACACAAAAATGCCCCCCCCCCCTCCCCACACGGAGAGAGAGAGCCTGCCACCAACCAACACCACTCCCCAACTCGAGAGCCTTCCACTGCCGCCATCCTCCATACACCGGCCACCCCAGGCCCCCCCCCTAGAGAGAGAGAGAGAGAGACACTAGCCTTCTGTCATGTTTCACATGACTGTCCTATGCCTTTAAGTGTTCTTTGTATTTTGTCTCTGCTCCTCCCTTTCCTCTGGTTTAGTTCATGCTGTATAGATAGCCCACCCATTTTCCCAGTAATGCGTTTCAGCTTCAAGCCTCATGTCATGAAGCAGATCACATTATGATCTTTTGACCTATCAGATGTTCATTGTTGTAAGATTCTCTCAGTTTATGGAATAAACTTCACAAGATCTACAAGCTGTCATCTGGATAAAGTCACTGCCTGTGTTATTCAATAAGATTGGAGTTATCTCTATCTCTTCACAACTGTAAGTTACGGAGATCACACTTTCAATGCTTAGATTGGAGAGACAGAACACCTTCACAGCTCCAGACATCCCCTGGAATGAGAGTCAGGCTCTGCATACACAGTCTTGCAAGCCGCGGATCCCATCTGGTCCCCAGGCCGCGTGTGTCCCTTCTTCAATCCCTTCTTCTGGGGAGTGGTGCTGCCCCCCTGAAAAATGACGCCCTAGGCAAATGCCTTGTGGTAAATACACCCCTGCATGTATTCAAGCACCTCAAGCAATCATGCTATAAAAATTATATTTCCTTTTTAAGAAATGCGATCCACAGCCCACTTTTCCAAGCCACAGATGCAGCTCCATTTCTATGCCTCTTTTGCTCTCCCAGAGTCTTGTTCACCCAGGGAAGTTAGGTGATGTACTCCGTACTTCTGAGTAGGGGGGCCTGTGATTCACTTTTTTTTCTTACCATGTGACAGTGATGGTGCTTAGCAATTGGCTCCCAGGGAGCGCGCACAATCCAAAATGGTGGGCGACCCGCCCCTGCACTGCCACCGTCCGGTCTTTATATACAGCGGCCGTACAGGAAGTGGTTACATTTGGTAAATGCAGCATATGTTTTCAGGCATTCAGCTTGGTTTAGAGATGAGTATTTTGAGATCCTTAAAGTGGAGTTCTGGTTAGGGCCCCAACTATGTGCTCACTCGCGCCGTCCGCTCCCTTCTCTGCTTCTTCTCCCCTCGGTGCCGGCATCACAACTGTGGGCATCAGGCTATGACAGTTGCGGCTTTACAGCGCGTGTCGCGCTATGCAATTTAATTGGTCCGGTGGTCTTCTGGGATCTGTGAAAGTTCCTAGGAGACTGCGGGAGGAAGGAGGGGGTTGAACTTCCGTCTCACTTCACCACGGCGAACTGAGCCGCAAGTGGGAGCGGGTACTTGTCAAAACCAGGTACCTGCTTCCCCCCCCCCCCCCCCCCCAAAAAGTGCATAATATGGCAGTGAAAGGGGGGGGGGGGGAGGCAAACAAGCAAGAGCTTCCACTTTTGAGTGGGATTCCGCTTTAAAGTCTAATTGCACCAAAGTATACTCCTTCGCCTCCAGCATTTTATTTATTTTTGGTCCTGGGTCCTGCTTTTTTTGTTATCACTGTGGCTGGTGTAATTTCTAACAAAAGGGAGCAAATAAGAGAAGGTTATTGTAGGGCCCCATGTACACAGGACACTTCTGAACGATGGAAACTGACTGCTAGAAAACATAGGTTAAAAAAAACGTCTGTTTAGCCACGTTTGCATACCGCGTTTAGAAGCGTTTTTTAAAGATAAGCACAGGAGAACCTCCCAAATACCCAGAATGCACTGAAAAGTGGTAAATTAACGATTTCAGACTTTTTCAGAGAAATACAGAAAGTAGAAGCAGAGACAGCAGTATGTGTTGAGATTAGATTAGGTGTAAGTTGCTTATTAGCATTTCTTTTGTTTCCAAGAGTGGGAAAGGTGTCTGGTGGAGGGAGTCATTAAGGTCACCTGGTCTTAATGACCATTCACACCTCAAATTCCTCATGTATATATCTTTTGTTTCCAAGGGTGGGAGAGGTCTGAGGTGTGAATTGGTCATTACAATGTGTGACAAGCTTGATAGGAACATCCTGTGTTCAGTGTTTTGTCCATCTGAGTACCTTTTTAAAAATGCTTTCCATGAATTTTTCATGATGAAAAAAGGCTCTGGACAGTATCGGGAACTGGGAGAATTAAAAAAATAAAAAATAAAAAAAATTTCAGACGCTTCTAAATATGATTTGCTGCATTTACAAGTGTTTTACATTTAAAACGCTGATAAAATCGACTGCTGAACGCAAGTTTTCTGCATTCAAAAAAACGACTGTAAACTCAACTGCTTGTAAAATGACTATGTGTACACGGACACATAGGAAAACATTGGGGAGAGTTCAGGGGCTGCTGAAAAAAAATACTGAACAGCTCCTAAACGTGAGTTTATCAGCTGCAGAGTACATGAGCCGTTGGGGTTAACCTACACCTAAAGCTGTAATTAAACCCAAAACTGTAATATATTGCAGCATACCAATCCTTAGATGTGGTGGCTGTGTTTAATTTTGTTTTTTTGTTTTTCGGATTTATTTCCTCCATTTTCAGCTGATGATCTGGCCAGAAGCACACCACCTGTTTTAGGCTGCACATGCGTTTTTGGCACGTTTTTGATGCATTCTGCATTTTATTTTCCTAGTTGCTGGGCAGATTAAATGGCATCAAAAACGCACTAAATGCTTTTCTGCAGTGTTTCCATTGAAGTCTATAGAACCAAAAACGCAACTTCTTGCTTTTAAAAAAAAAAAAATATCCCTGACCCTTTCCAAAAAAACGCATCGGGTGAAAACACGGAGATGTGAACGTGTCCCATAGGAAATCATGTTAAATGGACTGTAATGCATTTCTGTAAAATGCAAAACTCTGCTGAAAATGCTTAGGAGTGATCGTAGGGTTAGAGCGCCCCCCACTATGGATGGAGCACAGGGGACATCTTTAGACCGTAGCATTGCCCATCTGCTGAACCGGCTGAATTTTGATCCGACTATAGTCGGCTTTAACCACCTCCCGCCCGCCATATAAGGTAATGACGGGTGCAAGGCTGTGCTCTCGTTCTGGGAGGAGGTCATATGACGTCCTCCCACTCTAACCGCGCATGCATGTCTCCGGGAGCGGGAGCGTTCCTCGGACACAGCGGATCACAGCGGATCACCGATCAACGGAAAGAGCTGAGGATGTCGGCTCGTTCATGTGATAAGCTGTGTCCAATCACAGCTGATCGCATGTAAATAGGGAAATGCTGGTTATCGGCATTTCTCTCCTCACGAGCTGTCACGCTGACAGAGGAGAGCCGGTAATCGGCATTACTCAGAGGGGACATGTACACTGATCATCAGGGCACTGATGAGCAGTGTGCCCTGATGATCAGTGTAGCCCCAGCAGTGCCAGCTGTCAGTGCCTCATCAATGCCAATTGCCAGTGCCTCATCAATGCCAATTGCCAGTGCCTCATCAATGCCAATTGCCAGTGCCTCATCAATGATAATTGCCAGTGCCTCATCAATGACAATTGCCAGTGCCTCATCAATGATAA